CCGAAATTGCCTAGGCAGAAGGCGACCTCTTAAACACCTAATGCAACAACAACATATAAGCAGCCCCTAAAACCCCCCTCTTGGGTTGCACACACCACTTTCGCACCTTTCGGAAACACATTAAATGGCCTGGCCGGGCCCGTGTGCGAAATACGCATCAGTCGGAAAGCGCACGTTAAATCTCCAAAGTAAGTAAGTAAGCAACTTTGTTTTACAGTCGTGATGTTTAAGATTATTAACCACCCGGGACAAGTCGATCCGACAGGTTGAATGATACGCAGGATGCAAAAGGAGGTAAACGCTAGTACGGTACAGAAACTAAAGTAAGTTGGGCTCTCTTAGTTTTCTGTATGCTTACACATCATCACGTCATACTGGATTTAATGTAGTTTCTTATTCTAATACTGCTAATCTTTGTCAGTGGCCAGTGAAAGTATCACAAGGGAAAATTCCAATATATACAAAATATACAATTTGTATATATGGTATGTCCAAAAATATACAATTTTGTATATATGGTATATCCAAAAAAATACAATTTTGTATATATGGATAGATTTTACCACTGCTTTATTAAGTTCCTTTTTACTGGATTCTCACAATATGTGGTTGATATTGAAAATATTACTCATAATACCGGACAGTATTATTGCATGTGACAAATATACTTTAAAACTATGTTCATTATGACAACTATATTTGGAGTGTTTTACATAATAAAGAAATAGAAGATTTCAGCAGACTTTTGTAACTGTTAGATATAAACTGAAGTACAAAAGAAAGTACACACCCCTAAAATATCATATATTTCGCATATGGTTGAAAAAGTTGTTACATTTTTTGCGCTATCGTAATGTAATGAACAAAACCATTGAGAGCATATCGCAGAAACGTAACCTTGACATTATGATAGGCAACAAAAGCACACATTGTGAAAATGGCAATTTTCTCCATTTGCACGTGCAATATGCGTAGAAACAGTATAAAAGGCAGTGGATTCTATCGTTCATTACACATTCAACGAAAACAACACAAGACAAATGCCACGTTTAACAGCAGCGGAGCGAGAGAGAGCCGTGGGAATGTCCCAAGTGGGGGCGTCGAACAGTCACATCGCAAGGACCCTCGGCGTACCAGGCAAACCATTATCAGACTCCTTGTCGTGTCAACCAGACTGGCCAGACATCCGACCGCCCAAGAAGAGGAAGACCGAGAGTGACGACCCCTGCAGAAGACCGGTACATACGCACATTACACCTGCGCAACAGGTTCCTCACCATGGCATCAACAGCGTCGACAGCGTTAGGTCACCACATCAGCAGGAACACAGTCATGAGACGACTACGAGCTGCCGGTATCCGGGCTTATCGACCATACCGTGGGATGACCTTGACCGCTCAACACCGTATCAGCCGTCTTCGCTGGGCAAGAAGGGTCAGACGCTGGCAACGTCGTGACTGGTCACGAGTCCTCTTTACCGATGAAAGTCGATTCAACCTCTACCATGCTGACGGTAGAGTGAGAGTCTACCGACGTAGAGGCGAGCGACTGGCTGGAGCATGTGTCCAACAAGTTCATCCTTTTGGCGGAGGCAGCGTTATGGTTTGGGGAGGCATTTGCGGCGAACAGAAGACGGATTTGGTCATTCTCCACCAGACCCTGACAGCCCAGAGGTACAGGGACCAAGTGTTACAGCCGGTGGTGATCCCCTTCATGCAGGGGCAAAGGCAGGGGTTTCTTTTTCAGCAAGATAACGCCCGACCACACACCGCTAGACTCACTATGGACTTCCTGAACCGTCAGAACATTCAGCTTTTGCCTTGGCCGTCACGCTCTCCGGACTTGTCACCCATTGAACACCTGTGGGACCATCTAGGTAGACAGTTGCGACGACGTGCACAGCCACCAACCACCATACCACAGCTGGAACAGGCTCTGCGAGAAGAGTGGCAGCGGATCCCTAATGACGTCATCCGACGGTTGACCTTTTCCATGAGAAGGCGTGTCCTGGCTTGCATTAACTCAAATGGGGGTCATACGAGGTACTGAGACCCCTCGCATGGCCTTCATACCTGGGACTGTCATCATTTCTACAAGTGTGATTTTTGATGAGTGACCGCCCATGGACGTTATTGTCAACTGAAAAGTGTTATGTGGCCACAAATCTTTAAATCCATTCTAAACATGTTTGAAAATGACTCAACAATGACATTAAACATTACAATCACAATAAAGTTTGCCCTGTCTTCTTTTACTGTCAGAATAGTGGGGTGTGTACTTTCTTTTGTACTTCAGTTCCGCCTACTGTTTACAAATAAGATGATCTATACATACAAGTAGTTCAGAGTAGTTTTAAACAGTGACGGTAAAATATATTTATCGTGAATAGCGGCAAATATGAATATATACAATTTAATATATATGTTTGTGTTATGTCATGGTATGTTGATTCTGAATCTAACATATTGCTTGATATTGTTTGCCAAACAGTTGTATGCACTTTTCATCGTGATACTTCTACTTAAGTATATAAAAAAGGATGTTTGTTTAGACATGCGTTCATTGTAAACAACGGCGCCGTGTTTTCGTTTGCTGGTTAGCTTTTACAGGTCAAAAGCAAAGTGAATCGCATTACTTTCGTGACGCATTTTAGGCCTGTCATACAGTTCCTGAAACAAATATATCCAATACAGCCGATGCAAGTCAATCATATTTGGCAAGACTAGATTACTGCAGTTATATATTTTATCAATATAATCAAACAATTGTTTTTATTTTTGTAAAATATATGTTCATTTCAGAAACTAGATGTTAGTCTAGCCAGCGGTCTAAACTCGCATTAATTTGGTTACACGTTTCATGATTTACAGTATTCGTGAAGAGTATGTAACAATTAGCCACAATTAGAGCCTTTGGTAGGAGTAGAGGGAATGATAAGCAAAGACTTGCTAAGTATTTTATGATATTCATGATAGCTCAAAAGAAACTTTGATTTATGTTTGTAGTACACCCCAAATAGAGGGATAGGACAAGTGATATATTAAGATGACATACAACTTATACATACTTGCGAGTATTAACTACTATCAAACAGTGAGGATAACAGGTGTTTGCATAGAGGTCATCGTATCCTGCACCACCGGTGGAACAAACACACGCAAAGGCAAGTTAGTTGTTAAACCCGAAAAACACGGAAACGATTAGCACAAGTCAAAACAGAGAATTTCATCGGACATAACTCCATTTGCTACATCTGTGGTAGTCACCAATCAACTCATTTATACTTCCAAAAATAGCTTTAACCCTTTTAAAGCTTGTGAGAAATTCAACAGTATGGGTTTGGTCTGACAAAGCAAGAAGCACAAATGAGGCATGTTTCGGCCAATGATTAGAGTATTCTTGCAAGTCTAAGGGTCCAACAGGTGTTATTTCTGCGACATGCTATTTCAAAAACCAAAATTAAGAGGGATATATATGAAAAGAAAAATTGAAATAATACAAATATAAATTCCTTCCAGGTGAAGGCTATCACTTGAAATCAAATTAACAAAGCAGATTTTAGTTAATGACACATCGCTTGGGGTAGAAGTTCATCTCTGTCACCATGCTATGGTATTTCTGGAAAGGAAAGTTAACTTACAAAGTTTTAATATACGTGAAAGGCTTAATGTTGCTGATTAAGCGCAAAGATATAAACTCTAACTGACTGCTCAGTAACATTCATGTAATATTAGTAATATTCAAAAAGTGTACTTGTTCTAGGTGTGTGTGACGTGGATATATATATATATATATAAGCGTATAGAAGAAACGTCAACAAACTTGTAACTATGTATAAAGCCATGTCCTTCATATATAACTGATCTTATACCACCAGCTGTGTCACAGAAGGTCAGTTATAATCTCAGAAACCGCCATGATTTTGTAGTTCCATTTGCACGGACATCTACGTTTAAAAGGTCTTATATTATATCATCAGGAATCAGGGATAGTCCGTCAATATCTTATTTTAAAGCTGTCGCATCTGAGCAGCCTACATCACCACCTATGCACTATAATTGCGGTGAGAGATCTACAAACATATTGCACACTAGATTGAGACACAATTGTAGCACACTAAATTCCAACCTGTTTCGTGTTAATTATCTGATACTATTTCCTGTAAATGCTGAGCTCCTTGTGAAAATACATTCCATTTCTTCTTCCAATGTACCTTATATGATGATATTAGGGAGACATTACTGACAGCTATCGATAATCTTGGAGGACAAAAAACTCTAATTTGTATTCTTTTTTTGTGATCCAAGCTTAGATGTTTTCCTGAATACAAACATATTCTTGTCTGTACACAAATTTATAGAAACGACTAACAGATTCAGTAGCTAGCATATTGTTTCCAAACTGTTAATCATTAACATTGTTAAATCTATATACAACACTTACATGTATAATATTAGCATATGTATGAGATGCATACTGTCTTCACTTTCCAGCGCATTGTACATATCCTTCATATGAGCACTGTATATAAATTTATATTGCGCACTATGTTTCCACAATGTGATGCTTCAACTGTAAATTGTTAATTTTCATTATGCAATATTATGTATAACTGTATATAGGGAGAAGGTGGTAATAAGTGCTGCACTTGTGCCCAATCCCTTGGTCTTTTGGGGCAATACAATATGTTTAATAATAATAATAATAATAGTAAGCAACCAATGTATTATGATCAGGGTCCATTGGTATCCCTTCAGCAAGTGCGAATCAGGTCCTAACACATCTGTTTTGTCATGTATACAGTCGAACCTCGCTTATCCGGACAATTTTCTAAAATGTTGTCCGGATAAACGAGTTTCTGGATATCTGAATACCTTGTTATCTGACCAGAAGTCCTTCCCCTACCTCAGTTATACCGAGGCATATGTGAAATGAATGGCAAAAATATGATTTATGAAGGATCGACCAATTACTAATAAAATACATTGTGCTGTACAGACCTACACAGCCTGCTGTGACAGCGCACTGCATTATTGAAACGGCTGAAGAAATGCATATGTAGCCTAGTTTAGACTTTGCACTTGTTTTGTGTACAGATACGACGGCGAGGTTGGGGCAACCTGACACAAATGAGCATTAATAGCCATGTTTACCTGTACTAGTTGAGAGCCAAGGTTGAAGTCATTCATGTGTTGTCGAGGCATCTGTAAACGGCTAAAGAAATGCAAATGTAGCCTAGTCTAGACTATGCACTTGCTTTGTGTACAGATGTGACGGCGAGGTAAGGGCAACCTGACACACATGAGCATTAAAAGCCATGTTTACCTGTACTTGTAGTTGACTGCCAAAAATGCTGTCGAGGCATCTGTTCATCTTCTTTGTCGAATTGCATTATTAAAGTACATCAAGATGAGACATCATATACATTAATATATATTTGTTGAGCACGAAACCTTGAAGTGTAGCCAGGACATTTCCTCGAAACTATGGGCGGCCATGTAGCTTCAATATCTTATAGATTATATCACTGAACATAGGTCCAGGTGTATTCAGTAAACAAAGATCTGAAGGGCTGTATTTCCTTCATCGAACACACTATGCGTTCATCACAGTTTGTGACGGATTACGGATACGAACAAACTAGCACTTGTTTGGAAGGTAGGTTTTGTTAAGATTTGTTATCTTGTTCTCTCTCTACTTCCTTAATCACAATTTAAATCCTAAATAGACTTACGGGCCTACCACTGTGGTAATTTTAGACCCTCTGTTTCTGTATTTACTTGAGCTCATTTCCCCTAAGGTTTACACATCTCATAAGACTAAGTCATCAATGATGTCAAAGATGTCTGACATTTTTCTTATGAACAGTTTATGAAGCTAAACAATGTCCAAGTGACTTAACCACAAAAATACGCGAACACTTCTGACACAGAATTTCTTAAGAAAATACAGTACAAATGCTTTGAGCCCCTTGTTTTCTTTAAAAACATCGATCTGAGACACTATAAAGTGATATTTAGGTAGATATAACACTAGTCTATAGGTGTAAACACATTTAAAGATAGATCTGTAAGGTTTAAGTTGATTTTGAGAGCCCGGGCCAAGTCGGACCCAACACTTCTGACATAGATTTTCTGAAGAAAATGCAGTAGAAATGCTTCACTTTGAACCCCTTGTTTTCTTTAAATGCGATTTACCGTACACATTATAAAGTGGTATGTAGGTAGATATAACACTAATCTATAGATGTAAACACATTTGAAGATACGTCTGTGTGTTTAAAGTTGATTTTGACAGCCCGGGCCAAGTCGGACCCAACACAAGCCAAACACTTCTGATAGAGACTATGTTGAGAATGTAGAGGGAGAAGGGCTTCACTTTGAGCACCTTGTTTTCTTTAAGTACAGCGTTCTGAGACACTATAAAGTGGTATTTAGGTAGATATAACACTAGTCTATAGGTGTAAACACATTTAAAGATAAATCTGTAAGGTTTAAGTTGATTTTGACAGCCCGGACCAAGTCGGACCGAACACTTCTGACAGAGATTTTCTTAAGAAAATACAGTAAAAATGCTTCACTTTGAACACCTTGTTTTCTTTAAATACGATGTACCGTTACATTATAAAGTGGTATTTAGGTAGATATAATATTAATCTAAGCATATGAATCCATTTGATACATCTGTAAGGTTTAAGTTGATTTTGACAGCCCGGGCCAAGTCGGACCCAACACTTCTGACAGAGACTTTCTAAAGAAAATACAGTAAAAATGCTTCACTTTGAGCATCTTGTTTTCTTTAAGTACAGCGATCTGAGACACTATAAAGTGGTATTTAGGTAGATATTATACTAGTTTATAGATCTGAATCCATTTGATGATACATATGTGAGTTTAAAGTAGATTTTGACAGCCCGGGCCAAGTCGGACCGAACACCTGTGTGACTGTTGAGAGTATAGGGAGAAGAGGTCTACTTTAACCAACGTGTCTGCTTTAAATACGACGATCAGTGACATTATAAAGTGGTATTTACTTATATATAGAACGTTCCTATAAATATAAACACTAGGCGCACAGATGGAACGTTGTATCACGATAGCTAGAAGTATTTGATACGTTTCAAATCTGATTTCGTTACCAAGATCAGCGACGCTTACACACTGCTCCACTTTCTGGTTTTCAAGCGATTTACTCCGAATTACTTATTTATGGTGCACTTTTTTTGTTTGGTGATTGTTTGCATCAATTATATGTAGGTATGATCGCCGATAATGAAGTAATTAGCCAGTAACACTTTGGCCCGTCTTGGCCCGGCCCGGCCCGACTTTTAGGCAATGCCCACAGGCCGTGTTACATGCTATACGGCTATACTACCATCGTTTAACAATTAAGATTTACGTGATATGGAGCTTTCTTATTTTCTTCCACGCAGGTCGCGATGGTTGTCAATTTCTTCTACCGGCGGACTAATACGGAATTGCATTTTGCCATCTGTCTCATCTATGCATGTTCTGCCGTGTCGGAATTCTGATGAAACGCTCTTTCTAAATATGTAAACGTGAATATTCTGCTGCGTCTGGTACCAGACCAGATTAAAACGCCCAAACGGCGTTTTCCCTAACTTTGCTTTATTCAGAAATATTGAGTTATAGCAGGTATAGCTCCTACATATCTCCTTAACCGTGAAGTTTCGGGCTAGAATAGGTCTGCGGCAACCCATGCTTGCCGTAAAATGGAAACTTATTAAAGTTAAAGATACCTCGGTTTTAATATAAGCACAACTTCCTATGCCTGCTGTGATAAAACTTTCTGACCCTGAGCTAGCAAGATTAACACCCGGATACTTGTATGTGGAGACAATATCAAGGACCTTTCCTTTTGACTTTTCATACTTCCTGAATCGACCAGCCTTTCGAAACACTACAACTTTAGTCTTATTCGTATTAACCTATAATCAACCTCTGGAGACCAATGACAGTGCTATCAAATAAAATAATACGAGAATAAACAAATCTAATAAATCTTCTTTCGTAAGAGGCGAGTAACGGGATCGGGTTACCACAATCCCAATGGAACTTGGAACGGGTTCAAGTACTGCTAACGTAGCTTAGAGAAGACACTATACCCTCGGCTTCATGGTCTCATTATTTATTGTGCGTTAGAAACCCTTTTGAAGCGTGTGTGTTAGTGTCATTCGTCATTAAGTCATTTGCGTGCGTGCGTGCGTGCGTGCGTGCGTGCGTGCGTGCGTGCGTGCGTGCGTGGTGTCCGATACATTTGTGGTGAATACGAACTGTACTGAGAAAGACGCACACCAGGGTGAACTTCCACGTTAGAGACAAGGTGTTTCACCTCTTGTGTTTCCAACACACGGACATGCTATATATCAACATATTGTCCTTTATCTGCTGCTTTCGAAACCTTTTTTGAAATTGCATCCTCTGACAGAAGCTATGTACGCAATACTCGCTGTAATTTTCTCTTTCATTGTTAAATCATTCGATAGATAGCTTTCATTTGTTATCTATCTATAACAAATAGCGAAATGGACGTGGACGATGTCGTACGTTGACCCGGAGGAAATCAGTAGGTGATGCACTTGGCTACATTTTGATATGTGATATGCGTGTATGTGGTGCCTTCTCTGTGTGACATCGGTTGGGGCAAACAAGATGCACAAATGTTTGTTATTAATTCCGTGCTTCATTCGTGTCCGCCATACGCTTGGAACGTGTTTTCGGACGGTTTTCGGAGAAGAAAAACGTGACGACACCCGACTATGTGACATGAACGCTGAGACACTGGGCTTTCCATCAATAGTGACCACGATACTCTGTCGTCAATGGACGAAACACAAGAGTTGCGTGAAGCGTGAAACCTGCCGTACATCGACGACTTGCGTGCCCCACGGCTTCGATCCAATGGCAGCCAAGTCAATTCTGATAACACCCCCGGGTAGCCCAAAGAACCAGCTTCACTTCGATATGCGACGTGTGCACGTGTGGTCTTGCAGATGGTGTCCCCAGCTGACGCCGTTATATGAAGCCTCCTTTGCATATTCATAAGATACATGCGTCATTGTAATATATCATCCTGGGGATTGTATTTCTGAAAAATAGCTTACATGAAGAGAACATGTGGCAGCCACTTTACCGAGTGAGTGCATTTGACACTACATGCTCTCTGACGGGGTATCAAACTAATTTGAAAAGGTGACTGTTGTGCTCGAAGGTGCCACCGGTGGGGAACGATACGAGGTGCCACCTGGTGTCATCAGTAATTGATAACGATAGATAAACACATGGTTCTGATATAGTTGGATTCGTACAACGGACTCTGCTTTTAGCAGAGATTTATTATGAAGATAGAAATGGTTCTGCCGTTTTTATTTGCATGCAAGCAGGATATCGTGCATCAAATGTTTTAAGTTCATAGCTAATAGATACATTCAACACTTCAAACGCCATTGTACAGTAAACCTTCCATTAGGCACAAGTTTCTATTTGCATACATCCAATTAAATTGGTTAAATCTCATACACATCCATTATAGGAGTATTTAATAGTCAAGTATAAGTGCATTTTCTTCAGATAACATATTTACATTTATCATTCAAAAGGGTTCGTTCAATCTGGAGACATCTTGCTTTGAAAGCGTGAGTTATTTGCAGTTTTGACTTCGTTATGACTGAACATGGGGTTTCGGGGGAGCAATAGCATTATTTGATTGTATGTTTCAATCCTCATAGTTCGATGTACACATGATGTTTGACGACTATATTATTATCTTTGTTTCTTCATGATATTGCTCAATATGTATCATCATCATTATTTCAACCCATATTGTTATGGATGTGAGGTGCGGGGATGTTTGATGTACATTTCATTAACAAGAGGTGTAAACTTTTACAGAGCATTCGTAGATTTCCGCAAAGTGTTCGATTGCGTAAACAGTGAGGCTCTTTGGTATAAACTTAAATCATCAGGGTTAGGTTCCAATATGTTGAAATTATTACGCAGTATGTACCTAGAAGTTAAGTCATGTGTTAAAATGGCGAATGAATCGCATTCGGATTATTTCAGTTATGGTATCGGAGTAAGGCAGGATGAATATTTGTCGACTATATTATTCTCTTTGTTTCTTCATGATATTGCTCAATATGTATCATCATCATTATTTCAACCCATATTGTTATGGATGTGAGGTGCGGGGATGTAGGGAGGCTAATGCAATTGAAAAGTACACCTTAGATTTATTAAAAAGGTTTTAAAAAGATAAAGATAAAAGACATTATCTACACATCGGCATATATGTTTATGGTGAATTCGGAGTACAAGCATTGAAAAGTGTGCTCGTATTAAATATTGGATGAAAATCTTAAAGTGTGGTCCAAATAGATATATTAGTTCTGTTTAATTCGTATCGGATAATTGGCTTGGTCAAGTTATTGTAAATAAAACTGGATTTGTGTCTGAATTTATGCAGCTAATTCGTGATTTATATACACACATACACACACACACACACACACACACACACACACACACACACACACACACACACACACACACACACACACACACACACACACACACACACACATACACAGATGTTGAACCAATTATATAATCTTAGCGAAACCAAACTGTACCTATCAA